GTTCTTTAACTGATGGGGTCTGCTGCACCTCTGCCCTGCATGACTGGCCGATGTAATGGGATGAAGATGGTTCCGTGGAAGTATGGAACCATAAAGTAGCTGAATAAAACGATACACATTCCTGTCTAGTCTCCTTCCTTATGGGTGTTTTCTTTGTGACCCGTCCTTGATTATTGCACAACCTTCAATCTTGTATTCTTTAGGATCCTTGGCGCTCTCTGAGCTTGGCTCTGAGCCTTGCAGATGTTTCATTACCAAACTAAATAACATTACCTAGTTTAGCAATGAACTTCTGCAAGAATACAACTAAGCTCAGAGAGCACCCAGGACTCCATCGTTCAGCCATGAGCTACAAATATTCTCTTCTAATCTTGTATTTTCATGCAGACTTTTACCAATTGTGGTATTTTTTTCATTTATGCCAAAGTTTCGTTTTAGATACTGTATCAAAAACTGACCTGAAATCAATAAAAGTTGTATACAGATATTGTTCTGAGTTGTGGGTATACTTTTCTACTAGTTGGCGTGGCATCAAGGTATGGTCTAATGATGATCATCCTGCTTGTCCCTCAAAATATCTTTAGATTCAAGCAAATCAATTAATTTCTCCTGTAGATGTTCGTGTGATGAGTCCCCCAGATGCTTCCCCAGTTATCTCTCCAGATGTCTGCTCAGGAGAAAATGAACCAGTTTCACACACGACTGGAGGGGAGTTGGTTAATGGCTCCAAGCAGCCGTCTGAGAGGGATTTGGCTCAAGCACAGCTGCAGCAGGACAGCCCTGAGGCTTCAGGACAAGAAAGCATGCAGCTGCAGCCGGTCAGTGAGGAAGAGGAGGAACTGCCTTCTGTACCTGATACAAGAACATGTAGGACAGAGAAAAGGCAGGAGCAGAGAAGGCCAGCCAGATTATTCATGAGGAGAAAGCCTTGCCCTTCTTGATGGGCTGTATCGGAAGCTGGCTATTAAGTACAGCAGACAAATGGAGGTGATGCTGGGAATGTTTGTTTCGTAGTTGTGTGTTTTCTGGTTGTTGTGATTCCTGCCTCACTTTGGATTGACACTGTGCCTTGACTTGGATTGTAACTTGTGAGCTCTGGACTTTTCTTGGCTTGTGAACCCTCTTGTATTGTGAATTTAATTTTGCCTGGTGGGTTTATTTTAATTGGGAAACTTTCAAATGCCTTGTGGACTCATTGGCCATTGCTCTGTGGAGTAGCATTGGTCTGGTTGTGATTGGGACAGTTCTGGGTTTTTGATGATGGGAACTGCTAAGGAATATTAATAAACCAACTAAACCATGGTTATGTGTATGAGTAAGTGGGACAGCATAGTTTGGCATATATTTTGCTGATCTGACTTAGCAAACTGATTTGGCAATAGTTTATAGGATCATTTCTTTTGCCCTTCTTATATACTGATATTAGAACAGTCAAGTTCTAATCCTTTGGTATCATGGCCGAATGACCTATTGCTGTGAAAATGAAACTAGCACTGGGACCCACCATTCCAAAGAATTTGTATTACTTCATACATAATAAAATCTGAGCCTGGTTTAAATTGTGTAATTATATTTCTGATCACTGAACATGAGATCAGAGGCCAATGGGGAAGAGAAGTCACATGTACATCTAAGTCACATGAGGAATTCTCTGCCTAGGTAATAAAGGGTAACAAAATAGTGTTCCCATATACTGACTGGTATATGCAGTGAAAAGCTATCAGTCTTACTGGGAAAAGATGGGGCCACCAGTAGATGGCAAAGTTTTTCACACTGGCAGCCACAACCAAGGTTATCAGGATACCCAAATAGCACTCCTTTTTTTTGGACAGCATAATTGTTCATTCTGTTTTTTTTAAATTTCACATATTGCATTTCTTCCTCTTTATGTATCTCTTGGGAGTTAATTAGGTAAGAATAAATAAGAAACTTTTACTTATGATTTGCCTTAGCTTGTTGTTGAATCCTAACTTAAATTATATTGTACAATTAAGCCAGGATCATTTGATTCTGTTACTCCATTACAGAGCAAACGCTAAATTGACAGCTGAAAAACCCTTTGAAATAATTAAAGAATGTGTGATCTAGTATATTCCAGAACTGGAATATTTATTTATTTGTTAAACTTGTATTCTAGCCATCTTGCCTAGAATACTATCAAAAAGAAATATAAAACAACTACTAAGAATTCCTCCATTAATTTTTGAACATTAAAAATACATTTTGTATTTGTTGACCCCTTTAGGGGTCAACATTTAGCAAAGGATATTCAACTATTCTGCAAATATCCTCTGGGTAATCTTTGTGATTTAAAAAACAGCTTTTGATTCTATCCCTAGAGACAGACGGTGGAAGAGTTTGGAAAACCTTTTCATTAATTTACAGCTGTTGCTATTAAGATATAACATGAAAATACTTTAATGCAGCTTAGACATCTTAATTCAGTAGGGATTAAGCAAAGCTATGCACTGCCTTTCCTTTTGTTTAACTTCTATAAAAACATCATAATACGCTATCTAATTATAAAAAAAGAATGGGTAAGGCAATAATCATCCTCTAGTATGTGGGTGATGTGCCAATTCTCTCAACAAATATAGTAGGCCTAAAAAGTCAGATTCAAGTGTTCCTGCCACTTTCTGTGAGGCAGAACACCTAACAGGAAATCATCAGAAAAAAATAAAACAAGATGAGTTTTTTGCAAGAGACCTTGAGGAATAAACGGGAATGGGTAATTAATGGAATTTAGTTCAATCCTTTAAATAGGAATGTTTCGTTTACTGATTCTTGGTCTAGACATGTTACATGTGCCACACAATTGCACTAGTGCTATCCTGAACTTCCTATCTATTAAAGATGCCCTCAAAGTATTCAGACCCAAAGTAATTTGCAGTTCTCTAAATTTTAGGCACCTGCAAATTGTCCAGTCTGAATTTAGAAAATAAACTTTTAAGATGCCATGCTGTTTACTTTCTTAATTATTAAATCTGCAGTGATATCCATCAAGACCAGAACCAGCTATTATATATTATTTAAATATAGTAGCTTAAATTAACATTTTCAAAAAAAAATCTTTTGCGTTTTTAGTCTTTCAGGATTATTTCAGTTCATTAATCCATTATTAAAAGTCGTCGTACTCTGTCCATTTCTCATGAAATTAAGAACAGAAAAAAATATTACACCTAACTGTTCATATAATCTTCAACTAGGAGGCTATATGCACAACTGGATGTGCTTTTCTTTGAACTTGACTTCATGGGAGATGGTCAGAGCCAGAGGATCTTTAAAATGAAATTTAAAAGCAGCTCTCCTCTCTTTAGGAACAACATGGTAGAATGTCCACTGCTAGCTATTTATTTAATACACAAAGTTTCCATCTGTGTTCAATGTTTTATCCTTGGTGTTAGTGGTTGGGGATATTTGATAGTATCCCTATCTGATCAGTATGCTTGGCCACATAAGCTAGAAGTGGAATTGTGCCCTAATGATGTAATCTANAAAGCAGCTCTCCTCTCTTTAGGAACAACATGGTAGAATGTCCACTGCTAGCTATTTATTTAATACACAAAGTTTCCATCTGTGTTCAATGTTTTATCCTTGGTGTTAGTGGTTGGGGATATTTGATAGTATCCCTATCTGATCAGTATGCTTGGCCACATAAGCTAGAAGTGGAATTGTGCCCTAATGATGTAATCTAATTTGGTAATGAAATGTCTGCAAGAAAATAACCAAGCTCAGAGAGTACCAAGGACCTCCACAGTTTAACCCTGAGCTATAAATATTTTCTTCTATTGCTAGAAGTAGAATCAATCCTCATAAATTATGATACTCATTCTATGAAATGTTTTGGCCAATTTATGTGGATTATTTCACAGAAAATTTAGAAGGAAGCATATTTCACTCAAAAAATTGGCAACAATGTTAAATTTTATCTCTTGACTATGTATGTGCAATGCAAACTATGAATAATATTGTAATAGTAATAACACTGTATTCCACTGTATTCAGCTGTGGTGAGGATGTAACCTTAGAGAAAGAGGGCGAAGTAAAAATTTATCTATAACCACTATCAATAAGATTGGAAGCTGCTTCTTTAATCATCTTTCTTTTCTTTTTCTTTTTTCACTATTTATTATTCTTATTATTATCTTTGTTTCCTTTTATGATTTTACATTGTTAAACAATTCTTTAATAAAAATGGTATTAAGAGTTCAGCTATGGTTTATCATAAATACGTTTCTTTTTGTCACCTATTTAAATTGCAATATTTCTGTCTGATTCTGGATTGTGTTGTTGTTGTTCTCCCAGAAAAAAAAAACCAAGATGAAGAGAGTGATTTTCTACTGCCTGGAAGCATATATTTCTGAATCTCTACCTATCAACTGTGGTTGAATGTAAGAGAAAAGAGGAGGAGATAAAATATGAGATTAAGCCTTGTTTAATATATCCACCTAGGCCAGGGGTAGGCAACTTCGGCTCTTTTATGACTCGTGGCTCAGGAATTCTGGGAGTTGAAGTCCATGAGTCATAAAAGAGCCAAGGTTGCCTACCCCTGATTCCTAGGCCAATCCATAGTTATTACCAAAATACAGCTATTACCAAATAAAGCCAAGACATATTTTATAAACTATTTGGAAGGGCACTTCCTCAAATAAGGAACAAACTGTGCTGGATTTGCTGCTTTGAACACTGAGGCAGCCGTATTTCTGAAAGGTATCAACACTCTTAACGCTCTTTCTTGGTCATCTGAGGCCACGTCATCCCTGTCCAGATAACACTTTCACTGGGATTGTTTCTGAAGCAAAGTGTCTTCTCAGAAGGATTAAAAGGGGTTTTTGAAAGCTAAAAAGGGTTATGTGATTCAAAGATGGAAGGTGCCTCTCCCCCGCTTCGTTCCAAGCAGTGGATTCAGAAGAAACTTTACATAAACCTATATTATTTCTGTATATATGGCAGTTAAGTTGCTCTTAGGGGTTTTTTCCCCCCGTTTCAAAGATAGTTACCTTCATACACCCAGTCTGCTAATCCATTTAAAATTTTGTTTTCGGCTCCATTCTCAGTGATTTGAACAGGACTGGCGTTTGGTGTTGTTTTCACATAAACATTATTACCGTAAACATAAGCCTGCCATAAACAAACATTACAGTATTTACCATCAGAAAAAGATTTTATAACCTTTTCTTTATATCAAACAAACTATGTTTACTTTCATTTGCTGTATTTCTACACATTGGCTCTAAAGTGGAGATTTTTTTTTAATGCTGTAAGATTCTTCTCACCCATCTAAATACAGGAAATTGAATTTCTTTTACCCTTGTTATTTTAAGAATAAAGAAAAAAAATCAAAACGGTTCACAAGAAAGATCTAGAATGTTGCATTTTGTTTAATTAATCCTGAGAACTCTTAACATTGTTTTGTCCAATTTCCTCTATTAAAATATTGGTTTTCTTTCTATTAATTTCTTGCATTTGCCTCTTAAATATTATGAAATAACTTTGCAGCATGATGTTTAGCTATAAGATTCCATATTTCCAAGATCAGCTCTCTTCTTCCCTCTCCTTCTATTACCCATTCAACCAGCTGTTGGTGGATTTTTTTCTGTCAATATTTCATGCCATTGAGAGCTAAACCACATGATAAATATTTAGCATGCAGCTATCTTACCATTTTTTTTAAACCTAAAAAGTTCATGAATTAAAGCCCAGTTCACATCAAGTTCACTCTAACTAAGCTGGGAAATCAGGTTTATGCTTTCACAAATTGCTGATTTTTTAAAAAAATGTGTATGTGATGACTTTTAGAATAAGGAGCCAAAAGAAAATTAAGCTCCCCACCCAAGTGGCCTCACTTTGAACTGGCCACCCAAGTGGCCTCACTTTATGCATTTACTATAAAGATAAATATATATGGCAACAGTTATCTGTATATTTAATGTTTAAACTGGTTGAATGTATAGAAGTCCTTATTCTGGAACCTTCCCACCTTCTTTCCCCCCCCGCCAAGTTTTCCAGAAATTTCTGTTGCATTTATGGTATAGTTTTGATTATAGAAATAGTGCACAGAAATACCTGAATTGGTGTTACAAGGAAGGAAGCAAAACCTTATATATTTTACTAACCAGTTTGTGTCCAACAGGTGACCATGATATATACTGGATATTTGTAGGAAGCGGGTTCTCAGTTATTTTGGTTCTATGAAGGAAACATAAAGAAAAATATCAATATAATACAATATAAGCTATTGAAACATCAAGAAAAGACAATACAGTTACTGACCTGTTTAGATCATAGATATGGTATGATGCAGTGTATGAGTGCCTCCACACCTGCAAAAGTAATATTTATATTTAAAGAAAAACAGTTAAGAAAACAAGAGTATAGTTCAAAGTTAGTATTTTTTTTAGAAAAGTCCTGTTTGCGTGAATTTTATCCATATCACATTTAATGATCATAAGATTGTGATAAACAAAATTCAACTTTAATCAGACCTCCTGATACCTTCTAGAAATAAAACTTCAAATAATATCAATCTTGTGTATGGCTAAAATATAACATATAATATTCAGCTATACTGCTAAACTATAATTTTTTATGACATAAAAAAATCCTCAATATTAAATGTTGTCTTTTCCATTACCACGAACACACTGAGAGCATTTCTACACTACTTTGGTCCCTTTTACCAGTACTCCACAAAGCAATGTGTAGCTAAATCACAACTACATTTTTTGTCAATTTTGGAATTCTGGTAACAGGCAGCCAGTCAATGCTAATTTTTAACCTACCAAAAGGATCAGTGATATGAAATGAGTAGCACTCTTTCCCAAATTACCACACATCTCAGAACACGAAAAAAAAAATCTTATTTCAAGTTTACATAAAAGGCAAACAAATAGTTATCATTCCCACACACACAAAATCTTATTTTTCAACCTCTGTTTGTGACCCAATTTGAAGAATATTATGGACAGTTACTGGGACGAGAAGCTGGCTACAAAGTGCTGTTCGTTGCATTTAAAACATAAGTGAAAATATTAGGGGAAGGTGAGATGATAGCATGGTCAGCATTTCGCCACATTTTTCCCAACAGACAATGGTGATGGTGAATGGATTGGATCCGGTACCTCACCAGAATAACTTTGGGAGAGCTGTGGATTCCAACCAGCCATAGGCTAAGATTGAAGACATTTGTCCTTGCAGACCAAGAATTGAGTCAAATTCACTGGTGGTCCAGTGGTACCTTAATACTCAATGGCTTTGAAACTCATCGAATTTGGTACTCAATGCATTTTGATGTGAAGATTTTGTCCTGGTACTC